AGTGGGATGAACTAACATGGTTTTATTTTACCGAAATAGAGAAATTAGGTGCGGAGACCAGTTAGGAATATTTATACATACACACAAATCGAGTTTATGGAGGCTTTATTTAGTATATTTTTTATTTTAAATTTTAAGTTTTGAATTTTTACTTTTTATATAATTACTAAATATATAAAAAAATAAAAATAAAAACTATACTAAATAGAGTTGAAATTACCACTGAGTTTTGTTACGCAAACTAAACAATTCAAACTAGAAACTTGATCCATAACCGATACCATAAACAAACCTTTTTGAAAAACTTACACAGATTTTCATTACAAAAGAAAAAAGGATAAAAAAAAAAAGACTTATGCCCAGAAAAAGAAAAATGCCGATTTGTTATGAGTTGGGGCCATTTTCTCTTTTATTTGGACCAAATATTATCAGGAATAGCCCAAAAGAAAATAGGCCCATGGATCATGACGGCTTAATCGAAATTCGGCGCACGGTTAAGCAATCCAGGCGTTAGCGAGCGTTGCAGGTGCCAAAAAAGCTCGGTAATCGTCCCAAATTCCTCAACCTCAATACCCAAAAAAGCCATGATTTCTTCAATACCCATTTCGCCATTACTAAACAGACACTACCTAGTTGTTGCCCATCGGACCATTTGCGGTGCTAAGTTCGCCTTTCAAAGGGGTGACAGGATTGCCGCTTCCAACAGCTGCGGTTCGTCTGAAGATGGTGTCTTTGCAGTTTGGGGACATTAACCATGGTGATTTTCCTCCGGAATAAATATTTTTGATTAAATTTACTCGCATTCCATACCTTATGCTGAATTTTTGTCATGTTGTAACCACGTAGAAGACATGCCTCTTGATTTGAATTCTTCACATGAATTTCACTTTGAGGAAAATGGTGTTTATATGCAGGGTATGCATGATGCAATGTAATGGGCATAAACGGTCAAAAAATATGAGGAAAATCAGTGTTGTTCCATGTTATTTTGAGTTTGAATTGTATCTAGTAAGAATATATTCATTACATGCAATGGCTATGAAATAAAAGTGATATCATTATTTGTTGTTATAATTACTTATTGTTTTGTTAAGATTACTAAAAGTCATCAAAAGTTATTTTTGAGTTTGAATTGTATCTAGTAAGAATATACTCATCACATGCAATGGCTATGAAATAAAAGTGGTATCATTGTTTGTTGTTATGATTACTTATTATTTTGTTAAAATTACTAAAAGTCATCAAAAGTTATTTTTGAGTTTGAATTGTATCTAGTAAAAACATATTCATTAAATACAATAGCTATGAAATAGAAATAGTATCATTGGCTGTAGTTATGACCATCTATCATTTTGTCAAGGTGACCAAAGATTGTTTAATTTGATTTTTTTTTTTTAAACGGTTAGTTATGATGTCTGAAAATATTAGTTTATAAATTAATTTTAATCTATTAAATAATAAATATTAATTATTTTAGTAGTTCTTAGATAATTTTAACAATTAAACTATATAAAATTAAGTAACTTTAACAAAATAGTTAGTGGCTATAACCACACCTTTTCTAAACATTTAACTTGTGTTTCCAGGAAGAAGGATATTTGACATGCCTCTATGTCTTCTTAGAGCCATTTGATAGGCATCTTTACTCCATCTCTGTCCAAATTTGACGAATCGAAGCTATTTTGTGGCTGTCAAAGACTCGTAGGAACACTGTTTCGGATTCTATTTTTATCATCTTCGCTAATATATCAGTTGATGTCATTTTGCAGTCCCATGTTTTCAGAGAAAAGGTATCTAAGCAGTCATTAAGGGTCTGCCTTGGTTTGGTTCGACAGTGAAAAATCTGCCCAGCTGGCTGCAGAGCAGATGAATGGAAAGGAATGCATTTGCATTAGTTAGCTTTTATATCCATCTGGAAAATGCATGACTTCACTTTCAATGACTTCCAAATTCGGCTGGTTTTTCAATAGTAGGTTTATTTTGGTTAAAGTTGCAGAGCCTGGACGGTCCAGAAACCAAAGTTCTAATTTTTGACAGTCTTGTGCTCCTCCTTTGAATCAATCTGAGCCCCCGAAGAAGCAGTACTATCTTTCACCAATTGGCAGACTTAGGATTCAACTGGCACCCAACAGCATCACTCAGGTACTTGAGATGTATATTTTTGGTGCTCTTTGAGCTTGGTATGTGCGCTTGAGAAGGAAAGAAGTTTCTGTCTTGCCTTTTTCTGGGTGCAACTCTTCATATCAAAGAAAATTGCAGCCCACCTAAGGAGAGTTTTGGCTTTTGGTTCAGAAGGGTAGAGTAGGAATTGCAACATAGTAACATTTCAAAAGAAAGAAAAAAAAAAGAGAAAATATTTTTTCATACACAAGTTTTACAAATTATACTTACA